TAGCTTTGCCATTAATCAACTTGATAATGAGGTAAAACCTTTGAGTCAGCTTCTAGCCGAAGCTGGTTATTACACCACGAATAAGAGCAAAGAAGACTATAACTTTGAAAAACCAATAGGGACTTGGCACGACTACACGGCATCCTTAAGTACAAAGGTACTCAAATGTACTGAAACTAGAAGTTCATCGGCCAGAAATTAAAGACCACCTTGGCCGAGTTTTCATGGTGCTGGGCTTGCCTTGTAATCTGGGCGTCTATCACTCTTCATTCCCATCGCGTAACCGGTCCCACGCGCGGAAAGCGATAGGAGTGGGGTTGTATTTGCAGGCTACCCATTAAGCGAACCATTATTTTAAGGACCACTTGGACAAACAGCAACTAGGGAAAGCAGGATCTTGTTGTAGATCAGGATCAGCAATATAAAATAACAATTAAATTTGAAGGCAAGGCTGATCGTACAGCTGAGGGTTGGCAATTTTAAATGTATTTGTCCATGAAGACTAGTTTTGTCTAGTCGAAATATTGGGCCAATAAATTTGTAATTTACCAACCCTTAGCTATACGATCCTTCAGTTTTAGGAGTCATTGCAAGAAAAAACATGCAGTGCACAGGTAAAATTTCAGCAAGCACACACTACCAACTCCGCGGTTTAGTATGGGCAGTACCTTACGCATGCGCACAGCCATTTCACCCAGTCAGTGGCATGGCAGCCATGGACAACTGTTTTGTCCTCAGTCCTCATTACGACTCATCAGCATGGCATAGCCCCAGGTAGTATGTACTTCTTTGCTGAAATTGGTAGTATTTAGTACATAGGTGTCATGTTGCCGAGTTAGTGCTATTGTTGATTGCACTTGAAAAAATTGTTGTTAACCTTATACCGATTTTGCTGTCCCCTTGCTGCACAATCCTATAGATTTTATTTGGTTAACCTGTGGCTGAACGATAAGGGACTGAGCTCCACACATGGTTGCGAGGCAACGGACGGTTGGAATCATACTTAAGCCAAAATGGCGGAAAAGGTAGCGTCGTTGAGTGAGTTTACAAAACAGCATGAAATTAACAACAGATTTTGATTCAAAACGAACGATGGTGTTATGGAGGAAAGGAAAGGTCTTTTGACTTTTATTTCGAACTTTGACGCGGGAAATCTGGCCCGTGTTGAAAAAGTAAAGCAAGAGGAAGGCAGCTCTTGTACTGAAGATGCGGACGGGACGGTCACTATTGTTCCTGATTATGANCCAAAACCACGGCATCCTTAAGTACAAAGGTACTCAAATGTACTGAAACTAGAAGTTCATCGGCCAGAAATTAAAGACCACCTTGGCCGAGTTTTCATGGTGCTGGGCTTGCCTTGTAATCTGGGCGTCTATCACTCTTCATTCCCATCGCGTAACCGGTCCCACGCGCGGAAAGCGATAGGAGTGGGGTTGTATTTGCAGGCTACCCATTAAGCGAACCATTATTTTAAGGACCACTTGGACAAACAGCAACTAGGGAAAGCAGGATCTTGTTGTAGATCAGGATCAGCAATATAAAATAACAATTAAATTTGAAGGCAAGGCTGATCGTACAGCTGAGGGTTGGCAATTTTAAATGTATTTGTCCATGAAGACTAGTTTTGTCTAGTCGAAATATTGGGCCAATAAATTTGTAATTTACCAACCCTTAGCTATACGATCCTTCAGTTTTAGGAGTCATTGCAAGAAAAAACATGCAGTGCACAGGTAAAATTTCAGCAAGCACACACTACCAACTCCGCGGTTTAGTATGGGCAGTACCTTACGCATGCGCACAGCCATTTCACCCAGTCAGTGGCATGGCAGCCATGGACAACTGTTTTGTCCTCAGTCCTCATTACGACTCATCAGCATGGCATAGCCCCAGGTAGTATGTACTTCTTTGCTGAAATTGGTAGTATTTAGTACATAGGTGTCATGTTGCCGAGTTAGTGCTATTGTTGATTGCACTTGAAAAAATTGTTGTTAACCTTATACCGATTTTGCTGTCCCCTTGCTGCACAATCCTATAGATTTTATTTGGTTAACCTGTGGCTGAACGATAAGGGACTGAGCTCCACACATGGTTGCGAGGCAACGGACGGTTGGAATCATACTTAAGCCAAAATGGCGGAAAAGGTAGCGTCGTTGAGTGAGTTTACAAAACAGCATGAAATTAACAACAGATTTTGATTCAAAACGAACGATGGTGTTATGGAGGAAAGGAAAGGTCTTTTGACTTTTATTTCGAACTTTGACGCGGGAAATCTGGCCCGTGTTGAAAAAGTAAAGCAAGAGGAAGGCAGCTCTTGTACTGAAGATGCGGACGGGACGGTCACTATTGTTCCTGATTATGACTATAATGTTTGGACCGCTCCTGATTGTGCAGGAACAGACTATGAAAATGGTAACAGAACTTGGTTTTATTTTGGCGTCAAAGGAGGCCAGCCAGGCAAACTTTTGCGAATAAATATTATGAACTTGAACCGCCAAGGAAAGCTGTATGGTCAAGGAATGACTCCTCTCGTGAAAGTGGTCCCGTCAAGGAATAAGTGGGAAAGGATACGGGATAAGCCAAAATATGAGGTAAGGGCTATTTTTGTAAAGGCGTTATGAAAAATAAACATCAGTTGTGTCAGTTTTGATTTAAGCCAAAATTAAAACTATGCAGAATCGCTTAGTTTTAATTGCATTGAATGGCTTTAATCAATTCTGTCACCTGTTAAACAAAGAATGTTTGTCACGGTTGTTAGCGTGTAGTTTTGAAGTCGTTGTGTTTTATCTCGTTTTACGCATGGACTGTCTTGACAATAGTATTAAGCTGTACATTACAGTAATTACAGTAATTTCAAATTGCTGCAAATAATGTGGGAAACAATCTATTTTCTGCAACAACTAGCTGAAGATTTGCAGTTTTGATTCTGGTACAGAAATTTGGCTTTCAATCAGGATTGTGGTTTCATGAGACATTTTGAATGCCTACATCCAGGCATGTCACTAACAGCAGGTTGCTGGCTAATTTCACAGGCTCTGAAAAAGACCATACCATTGACTCAAATTCCTCTGGAGAACAGAGGAAAAATTTGGAAGGTAAAGTTGAGTGAAAAAGCCATCTTGACCGTTAGAAATGCCTGCTCAGCTTTTCCTTTGCTACATCACTGGTTACCAATATTACTGATCGGTATTTGACAGAGTACCAGTAGTATGCTTTTAAGCAAGGGCATATTTAAACCCCGGGCTGCAATTTATCTTTGTTTTTCTTTTTTAGACAGAGGATGGTCAGTTCAAACTGTCATTCACATATCGTTTTCCTGATCAGCGGAATGGTGTATGTTACTTTGCTTTTTGCTATCCATACTCTTACTCAGAGAGCCAGGCAAAGCTAGAAGAATTAGACCATAATTTCAGCAGCTGTCAGCAAATGTCATCATCATCTCCAAAGGATGACATTTACTACCATCGGGAACTTCTTTGTTACTCACTGGACCACCTTAGGGTTGATCTGTTAACAATAACATCAGCTAAAGGTATTTTGGACAGCAGAGAGGATTGGCTGCCGAGCCTCTTTCCTGAAAAAACAGTTCCAAGAGCACACCGGTTTCAAGGGAAAAAGGTCAGTATGTGAAGGTTTCTTGCACTTCAATAAACAGCTAACACATGGAGTATGTGCATCTCAATAAATTATTTTTATTTTGCACAAACTGCATTATTTTTTGGCATTATTATCATGAAAGTGTCAGATTCATGAAAAATGTCTTTTCTAGAACTATAATTAATATTTAGCAGGGCTTGAGTCATCTGGGACAACTAGATTTTCAGGATGGACAGGTTATCTTTCATCCTTTACTTGCCCAATGGGCAATGTTCAGGCAAGTCTAAGTCTAACTAAATCATAAACTAAGACATTAGTGCGCAAGCCCTGTATTAGAAGGCTCACTCTTGAATTTAATCAGGTTTGATGGTTAACTACAGGCAACAAAAGAGTTAAGTTTGCCTTACAAATAATAATAATTATTATTGTTGTAAACTTTAGTGTAAATTCTGTAGAAGTTGTACTTTTCTGGGTCATGTCACTTTATTACGTTTACCTATACAGATTTACTTTGATTTTTCAAACCACTATCTTAATTTGTACATGTTAAGTTGCCAACCAGAACTGCTGCATTTGTGACTCTTGCAGGTGTTTTTCCTGAGTGCAAGAGTACATCCTGGCGAAACGCCATCAAGTTTTGTGTTTAATGGTTTCCTGGATTTCATTTTACGTAGAGATGATCCAAGGGCTGCAGCGCTGCGAAACCAATATGTTTTTAAAATGATACCAATGTTAAATCCAGATGGTGTCAAGCGTGGTCACTACCGTACTGACACTCGAGGTGTAAATTTGAACCGTGTTTACCTTGATCCTGATCCTTTACTTCATCCTTCAATATTTGCCGCCAAGAGTGTTATTGTATACCATCATAATAATGGCAACTTGCATCAAAACTCTGATGTTGAGAAAGTTTGCACTTGCAATGCTGGAAGTGAGGAAGAGGCTGTTCTCCTGCAGAATACCTCCAAATCTTTAGTCAACAATGCCATTTTGGATGTTACAACAATTCCGGTCGCATTAAAGCCAGGTTCACCTGATTCTGAGTCTGTTAAGTTGGAGTTACATAGTGTAACTTTAGACAAGGATGATGTCAATAACAACAGTGATACCATGGAAACTGCATTGCTATCTAAAAATTTAGAGTCATTGGCTTTGGAGGATGGTGTTTTGTCCAGTCAAGAAAAGGAAATTTCATCGAAAACTGATGCTCAAAAGGAGACTTCAATTTTCAATCAGCTTTCAAATGAAAGCACCAGCAGCATGTCAAGTGATATGTCAAACAATGGTCCTCCGAAACAGTTAGCTCAAAGAAAAGTTGAGCAAACACAAGAGTTGCAAAACTGTTGCAATAACTGTTTGTCCAAGACTTGTGGTGAAAGCAGCAGTGGTGTCGCATACTACGTTGATCTTCATGGCCATGCTTCTAAGAGGGGATGCTTTGTTTATGCAAACTACCTGGACAATGAGGATGACTATGTGAGATCTATTTTGTTTCCAAAACTCATTTCCTTGAATTCAGCCAACTTTGACTTTGCAGCTTGCAATTTCACAGAAAAGAATATGTATAGCAAGGATAAGAGGGATGGCATGTCCAAAGAAGGAAGTGGTAGGGTGGCTATTTATAAGGCCACTGGAATTGTACATAGGTATGGCAACTTACAAAAATATTGAGGCAATGAAATTTTGACACCGTGACAGCTTCCATACTCACCACTGAGATTCTTAGTTTGACGGTTCCTGGTGTTTGCCGCTCACAGAACGTTCATGGTTACCTTCTGCGACTGCTTGCAGCTCCCTTAGTTTGTCCATGCACCTTCCCCACACCCATCTCATACAGAAAACTATTGGCAATGGGTTTAAGTCCAGTTAACTACCTAATTTTTATTTTAATATTAATAGGGATCTTCAAGCTCCCATATCATGTGTTTTCCCAGAAAAGTCCCTCCCCTTAATGTTAGTTTGCACATTCAAGAAATACGAGAAAATAGACAGTGGCTTAATCTATCCTCACTTTCAATTTTTAGGAAAACAATTCTCCTCCATTAAGTCTGAGCTCTATATAATACTCTGTGCATAATCCCATATTTTTGCAGTTTCTGAAGATCAATGTAGCCAATTTTATAGTTTTTTGAACGAAAAACTGTTCTTTGAACTCATGATCACCATCCCTATGGCTCTTGGCTGAAACTTTTAAAACGTGACCAGGTCCCTAGTTACAACAGAAATCTCTTGCATAACTTCAGTATAACAAGTTTTTGAACTCAATCAGAAAGATAATATGTATATTTTTTATTTATACACTTCTAGCTATACATTGGAATGTAATTACAACTGTGGAAGGACGGTGAATTGTTTACCACCAGCCACTTGTGATAGTGGGCGTGCCACACCACCCCCATCTCCAGGCTTTCCACCCAAGTATACACCTGATATTTATGAAGAGGTACAGTCATGTAAATACGAAAATCTTAAAAACATTAAGGTTGACTAATTAAACAAGAGAACTAAGGGTTGGAGGAGGAAGAGGAGGAGGCAGGGCTAAAAAATGTCAAGTCCAGTAGTCCAGGACTGGTAGATTTTCTTGCGAGGCAAGTAAATTTTTTAAAGCTCACTTGCCCAATGGCCAAGGGTCTAGGAAAGTCATCCCTTCATTAATTCATAAACTAAGACAAGACATGGCCCCAGGCAATCAAATTGTGAGGGTTGCTTGCCCAAAGGCTGGAATTCAAGTTTTTTTCTTTAGCCCTGCTGAAATATTTTAACTTGATGATAGCACTAAATAAGGGCAACTGAACTGCAGTAAACTTCATCAGTACATTGCATTTTTTTATACCTGTAATTCTCTCACATCTCACTGTTAAAACAATACTGACCTGAAAGATTTGTAAATGTAGGTTGGACGAGCGCTAGCAGTTGCTGTGCTAGACATGAACAATTCAAATCCTTGGTCACGTCTTCCCCTTAGTGAGTTCTCGTCTTTGGAAGGTGTAAGAAACTGGATCAAAAGATTTGTTAAGAGCTCCAAGAATGCACCTTCAGTTCCAAAGAAACTTTCTCGAGTAATCACTAAAACCTCCAGGTTTGTTTGTTTATTCACTGAATACTGTTTAAGTCTTACAGTGTATTTAGATAGCATGCTACAACTGTACCTTAGATACTGTGTCTCCTATACAAATTTAACCTGTTTATGATTATTTAGGGAAGACATAAAAGCTAACTACGAAGGCAAATATTTTGTGTTGTTAGAGATGCCTTTCAAGCTTTAAAACATGTATAAGTATATCACACCTGGTAACTTGAATAAGGCATTTTTCTCAAGGGGGAGCATAAACAGGAGAGAGAAAAATTTATAAAAATAGAACACCTGATCAGAGGCAGAATAATTAATATGAGGTACTGTTAATCAAATCTTCGGCTTTTTTGTTTGTTTGTAACAACCAAAAGTGTTCAACGCTTATATGTATAATTATCATTACAGAAACTTGAATGAGATATAATAGTTTAAAACACCATGGTTAACAATAATAATTTCACCTGTGACAATTTGCCTTACTTGCAGCATGGTTGCAGGAGCAACAGCAGGTACTCGGCAGAAATTATCAGCCTTGACAAGTTCATCAAGTGACATGTCATCAGATAACAATGCTGCTGCCAAGGTCTCTGAGCCATTCCCATCTCAGAATGGAAAAGGTGCTTTCAAGGACGCTGGTATGTACTTTGTTTTAATCATTATTATGTGATCAATAATTATTATTAAAGTCAAGCCTCTCTACAACGGTCACCTTGGAGACAGAAGAAAGTGGCCGTTGTGGAGAGGTAGCCATTATGGAGAGGTTGGGTGTAATTTGACAAATTCTTTTTAGCGAGTACAACAATGGCTATTGTGCTAAGTTAATGCTTACTGTATCCCATAATGTTTATAATCTAATCATAAATAATCATAATAACCATAATAGTCATAGTAATCTAATCATACATTGTACTCACTATTTGTCTTCTCATTGGCTAAGAGCCAACAGCTAATTTTAGAAATCAGCGCAACCTACAGATTAGTTTATCTGCTAGCAGATAACTGACTAATCTGTAGGTTGGTTGCACACGCAATGCATGATTTCCAATAACAATATTAATTCAGGTTCCTTGTGACGGTGTGTTTGATGTTATTTTCGTCAAAACAAGTTATAATAAAACAATTATTAGATTCGGTTTTAATGATATCCTAAATATTCCAGGTCTTGTTAAGTGTTATCAGCCTCGGCCTGCGACTCAGGTGATAACACTTACCTCGACCTTGATAATTCCTGATATCACAAAAACTTCACCCAATAACTGTTTAATATATGGAAAAAATATTAATACACAAAAAGAACATGAAACTTGAATGATGTCTTGAATCAAAATGAACAAGTTACTTACTTTAGCATTTAAATTCAGTTGCCGCAATTTATCGTCAACACACCTTATGGATCAAATTTCATGATCGTTCTTGACTTTTCCATCAGTTGACGAAAAAACTGGCCAATGTTGAGAGGTTAATTTTTTGGCAGTTGGGGAAATGCTTTAGTGGCCGTTGTCGTGGTAGAAAGGTGGCGGTTAGTGGAGGTTCTACTGTAAAAAGTATTTAATTTCAATTAATTTCATCCTTTCAGAGCACGAATATTAATTACTTATATTACTATAGTAATAATAAGGCTTTACAAGAAGCCTTTACAGTTTATGTTCTTCAAATTATTGGTTTTGAAAGTGAATAACTGGAAATTACAGACTGGGGATTGGAAGGAAGTTTTTAATCCAAAGGCCTTGCACTGGATGTGTTGGCTTGGATAATATCAGGTTGTCTAGAGTGTATTGTTTTCATGCATTTTATAAATCTGTATTATGTTGCACATACTTGTACATGTGTAGCTTGCTAACAGGTTAATTTTGAGCCCTGTTAATTTTGCATTGGATGTGTTGGCTTGGATAATATTATGGTTGCCTAGCTTGTATAGTTTTTGTGTGTTTTACAAAGATTTAACCTGTATTATGTGGCACATTCTTGTGTATAGCTTAACAGCTTCATTTTGAGCATAACACTTAAGATATATTGCTAATCATTAATAAATTAATCTTGCACTGTTTACAATTGTTTATTTGTTCAATCAGGCTTAGACTCTTTGTAGATACTATCTTTTAAACCAGGAATAATGTAAACTTTTAGGTAAGAAGGTAGCTGGAGACACTAGTCTGGCAAGGCGACCCCTAAATCTTGCAGCTACACGTCATTCAAGCTTGCAAACAACAGGGAACATGGGTGGCAAAAACCAAGAAAGCTCTTCTCTGTGCAGAACTACTGTGATTTCTGGAGGGACAGTTAACAAGGATCATTTACCAGAAGCTGGTGCTCAAAAATCACAGGTACCCTTGCTAGCTTCCCCTTTCAGACGGTAATTTACATTTATTATGACCCCAGGATCTTTTCTCTTCCCCCTCTCTTATAATAAGCACACTGTTTGAAGAGCAACTTTCCCTTCCCCTCCCCCCCCCCTCCCCACCCCTGCTAGAACAAATTAGAATATAGTGAAAAATATTTTTCTAGTTTGTATTTTTATCCCTCAAAGCCTTAACGTTCTACATACTATTCTCAACTGTTATTTTTATATGCCACTGTACAGTGACTGTGCATGATTAAAAACAATTTGTTTTTGCTTTGACTAACATTTTAATTCTCACTACCTTGATATTTATTATGGTTATGTAGTGGTATCACATATGTATAAAGTAGAACGTACTGTTCTAGATTCTTTTCTAAGCATAAACAACAAAAGCGTGTGTCAGAGTGTGTTCAGGAAAACACGATGTTTGATCGTTTTTTTTGAGCAAATACCATCAATGATTTCACCCTGGCTTTTGTCTTCATCTCTATAACCAACTGTAGATGTATAAACCAAAGGAGCAACCAAGAGTTTCTCTGGAACTTCCAAAAACAGTGAGTCCTTTAAAGTCATTTCAACTGATTTTTTATTTCTGAATTGGTTAGCAAATATTTGGTACAAATTAATTATTACATGTTAAGGGTTCACCTTTTTTTTCTGCTTTATAGGGTCCAACATTAAGGCTTGTCCATAACTTTCGGCATTCGTCACAAGTCCATGTACAGCATGTATCACCTAGCAGTAAGACCTTATCACCACCTATTGAGGTTAAAATGAGGTATGGTGTCAGTAATAATAATAATAATAATTGTAGCGTGTTCTCATATTTTGAACCTGTTACCCACAACACCTGTGATGAGTGTCACTGAAAAGACAGTAATACAGTAGCCTGAGAGCAAGCTTTCCGGCAGTGGGGCTGGAAAAGGAAGGAGAGCTTGCACTACGTGACTGGAATTTAAATTCCACCAACCTCCAATTCCCCTGTGGCTTCCTGTCGACTGAGCTCTCAGATTTCCGCGAAACGGCAAAAAGCAGAAAACATTGCGCAAGGATGTAAACGCACATTGAAAAACACGTGCCAAGGGTAATGACATCATTACTAATGTCATCTCCTCCAATCAGCATTTCAAATAGACTTTTTCGATGCAGATACCGTAAAATTCCGAAAAAAAGCCCCTCCATGTATAAGCCCCTCCAAATATAAGCCCCCCAAACGGGTAACGCAAAAAATCCTCCGTTAAATCGCCCCTCCAAATATAAGCCCCCCGCGGGCTTGTACTTGGAAAATTACCCTCAAATACAAAGTAAAACAAAGCAAAAACGGTAAATTTACTTTCAACTATAAGGCTAGCCCAATCAATTTAGAAACGCAAATTTCCCCCCGTAAATAAGCCCCTCCGAATACAAGCCCCTCCAAAAATAAGCCCCTCAAAAAGGGCCTTTGAAAAATATTAGCCCTGTGCTTATTTTCGGAATTTTACGGTATTCAAATTCAAGAGANCCCCCCCCCCCCAGTGTGTGCTACCAAATGAAATGTCTTATGAATGGAAGGCTTCAGCTCAAGACTCAAATGAATTTCATTTCTTTGTTAAACTATAAAAAAAAATCAAGTAACAAAGTCTGAGAAGTAAATGGTTACTGCATGAAAAATATGAATGCAAGTCATTATTAGACTAAGAAGTACTGCAGGTCGGAATACAGTGTAAATACGTCACTAGGGTATAAGTTTTAGGAGACCTGACTGTCAGCTTATTTAGTGCCTTTATTTTCAGCACTGTGGATGTCCACAAGCAATTTATTGGTTTCCAGAGAGGCAAAGCAAGCACAGTGACAAAATGTCAGAGTGATGAAGATAAGAAAAAGAAAATTATACGACAGCGGAGAAAAAATGGGCGGAAAAAAGGTGACTATGTTTAGTAGCTATTGATTTACAGGAGAGACCCCACTTTTATGTTGGGCAACTAAGGATTACTATTAAAGTTTACATTCATCAGTCAAATCACCAAAAGACCCAAACTATTGGGGTAAAAATAAAAAGCACAAAAATTAATAAAATGTACTCCTTATTTGCTTTGAGTTACACTGTCCATCACTGAAGTGCATGGAGGGTGGGAACCATCTCAGTCATCTGAAAGAGTCTGAAACCTTTGTGAAAAGTTTCTGTTTAAAGAGTCGACTGAGAGTGTGCAAATTATTTTTAGTATAATATCATACTGCTAAAGGAAATTGAATTATGTAAGTAAAGTAATGCTCATTCCATGTATACAGGTGTATGTTTTAGGAAAGTTTGTCTGTTGTTAAAAAGAAAGAGTTGACAGTGGTTAATATACAAATATACTTGCCATACTGAAAGTTATAATAATAAAATAAAATGTTATCATGCCATGCAGATCCAGTACCTCGTGTACTCACAAGGTTGCTCATTTCCTTCCATAGAAAAATTGTAGTTCATTGCATGATAGATTGTAGGTATATTGGTGAAGAAAATTTGCATTTTAGGTTTGATTTTTATCACTTCATTCCACTCACACTGTAGCAGTAAATTGTCCTTCAGGTTAACTTGGATTAATTGTGAAAGTTTTGGCTGTTGTTATATCAAAAATTTTCAGTTGAAACACATTGTTTCGTTTTCAGACAAGACTGAAGAATCGTCAACTGTCTACAGTGAGTCACAACCCGTGCAAATCACTTTACCAGGAAGGTACTGGATTAATAATTATTAATTATTTATTTATTCATTTATGTTATACTTTAGTCGTTAAAAATGCATATATATTTGTGTTCATTTTACCTTCAATGAAACCCAGAAAACGGTGAGCACCAGAGGTATTTCAGGAATGTTATTGTCTTGCAAGGAAAAATCCAATTATGTGTGAGAAAACTTAACTGAAAGCAACAAGATTGTAGATTTTTAGCTTGCTTGCATAAACTGATCTTTGCTGTCTTTGACATACAACAATAAACAGTCCTGAAATTTATGTGTTCACAGTTTTCTGCATTTGACAGTGAGTATGTTATTTTTTTTTTTACCATAAGGCCACAAGTACCTCTGATTTCACATGTATTATGTTTTTAGCATTGGTATGTTCTTTGATCACACTTTTTGTGTTTTGTTTCTAAGGCCAGTTGAAGAGGAGGTTACAAATGCTAAGACATCAAAAGATGAAGAAGGTTTCAAAAGCAAGGGCCCCCAGTTATTACGGAAAAATAGTTCCAAGAACTTGGTAAGTAACTTTTAGATCTATACAGTACTGTTTTCTCTTGAATAAAGCACTTAAATGCTGTGATAAACACACTTCCCTGAATGAATTATGAATTAAAATATGCCCATCCCATAAGTTCTACATGTAGCAGACAAGTGCCCCTCCTTCTCTCATACTGTCTTAAATAGGAACTCTCTCTTTTCTCACTTCAACACTATATATTACAATTTGTATACTTTTAATTTTGATTACACTGGCATGTTAGTATACTCCTTTAAATAACACCTCCGCGTTTGGCCGAAAGTGAAAACACAGTTAAGTGCTAACATGTTTAACCATGCTTTATCTTAGTTTGTACCTTTCTCAGAAAAGTCATTGTCACTTAATTGGTATAACTTAAAATAACGCACTACGTTGTGTTGAGTATTTTCATTGCCAAAATATATTTTGCCATATTATAATATGTAAAGAAACTGTTCATAACAATCAATTAATCCTTTTGTGTTATTTTATAGATAAGTTGCAGCATGATGTCCTGTGAAGTAGTTGACATTAAAGAGCTGCCACACACACCACCTCAGTCAAGCAGTAGCACAGCTCCTTTGCAACTCTGGAACAACATGTCTGTTAGCTAATGTAGCATCACCATCTTTATTTATTATAACTGCATTTTCATCTCAGAATTCCAAACATTAACATTCACGAACGGATCACAGAATTTTAAGTAGTCATTTTTTAGTGTATTGTGGGTGTGTTGACTCATTAATTTAACTTCTGAAACTAAAGAGGTTCTTAAATTTACATTGTCATAAAAGTAGATATTATTATTTGTTTTAAGGAAAAGACAGTTAGATACGTTAAACGTGATTTTATATATATATATATCATTAACATATTATTTATTCATTTTTAAAAGAAACTATGGAAAACTAAAGAGTTCTTTTAAGACTGTGGTGGCTTTAAAAATGCATTTATGCCCTATTTGTACAAGTATGGTGACTACCAGTAATTAATATATTTATCATCTGGTTATTTCTTGTGGTGTTTGTGTTTTAAATGAATTTTTTATTTAGTAATTTAATAAAATTTCCTTTTATAACAAGACATTTGTTTCTGTATCTTTGTGTGATGTGTACATAACTCTCTGAACAAGGTTTTTTTTTTTCAGTTTTGTGATCTTTTGATAAGAGCAATAAAATTTATAATGTGTGCTAGATGTCCTTTCTCTTTTTGAAATTATTAGTACTCTTGACGAATAGTTCAAGGGCAATGACCAATCAAAGTGCATGTACATATAGCATTCACTGCATTGTATACACAGGGTTAAAAAAATCCATTACATTAAAATTTGGTAAGGATTTGTCTGAAATTAGAACTCCAGCTGAAACAAAGGTAATTAAAAGCAAAAGAGTAAATCAAACCGACAGAAATAAATGCTATAAAAAAAGACTTCAAAAAAGGCTCAGAATGAGAGAAAAATTATTAACATACTCCCAAATACTCTTTTTGTAAGGAAGTAATATTTTACAGTGCAACCCCCCACCCCCACCCCTGCCCTGCTAAGAATGTAAGAATTTGGTGGTTAAATCAACCCTCCCCTATTCCTGTCCAGGTAAACAGCAGCTAGCGTATATTCACTATAATTCCAATCTTGAATATTTAATGCTTCTCCTCCAGACTTGTACAGACAGTGCTCTAATGGTTAATGTGCAGGTCTTTGGATCTGGGCATCAAGTTCTTTCATTAGACAAGAAATCTCCCATCTCCAAGCATCCTGTACAAAGGAAACATTCACAGCTATACTTTTCTTTAAAACCAGATATTAATAGTTTCTACCTCTTTGATCAGTCTTAAAATGTACAGCATTAACATTGCAACACAAAAGAGGAAATTCAAGGACAGATTTCTTGGCATCAGTTCTAGAATTTCATGTTTCATTGCAAATCCAACATCTTGATTTCAAAATCTAAATCCGAATTTCCCAATCAATCACACCCATTATTAACCATCCTAATTGTAACACATGATTACTCTGATAAAACCACTCTTTTCTTTTGTATTTATGGTTAGTACCCTGTTTTGATGTCAAATTATAATGCCATAGCAACATGTACACACTGTAAGTAAGATTTTAAATGTTTAGGTCTAATGAGTGGCTTATATATTAAGAATCTGAAGTTTGTGTACACATAAAAAAAGCTATCAAATAATATTATATTATGACTATAACAATTTATTAGCATTATTAATGATATAGAATTTACTGATTAGACTTATATAACAAGAATTAACTTCCGCTTAAAATGAAAAAGCTACTGTGGAAGTCTGCTACTCGACTAAATGAGTTTAGTGACAGGGATGCTTGTCCCGCGTAGGAGTAGAAATAGCAGATTTTGGTCTCACTAAGGGTGTTTAGGGCGGAAAGGCAATAGTTTTGACAAAAAAGGGCGGTACACACTAGGCGACAAGTTGCAGCAACAAATCACTTCCTGTGTACTGGAGAAATTTTGGGAAAATCTTTGTCTCTGCAACAGAATTTTGTCGCCGCAACAAGTCGCACAAATTCTGACTGGTCTTCTTAGGGGATTTGATTGTTATTTTTGGACGAGCATCCCTGTTTCTTTCATATCCAGGAAAATCCCCTTGGGCAGTTGAAGGGACAGATCATCAGAAAAGTGAAGCCAAGTGGGAGGGCCAAAAGAAATTCCATTATGAAAAATCAGTATGTGAAAAGATGCATACAGCCAGAAATGGCAGAAATAATGAATAGAAGTTAAAGAAATACACCCCACGAATCAAAAAGAGGTTACATGGGAAGAAGAAACTCCCCCCACCCCCCATTCCCCCCTCCAGTTCACTTTCCATTCATATCAGTAGTCACACATGCAGGATTATTATTGTGAAATGTTACAAATCTTTGTGAAACACCTTTCAGGGTCGGCCAGGATTTTTGGGTATACGGTATACAGGGGCTTTTTAAATCGGGTATACGGTATATTGCAGCTTAAATACGGGTATTCAGTATATCACTTTCTTTGAATTTCAGGTATAAAGTATACCTGGGTATAATTTCGGGTATATTTGGATGAATTTTGGGTATTTGGGCGAATTTTTTTCGGGTATACTGGTATACCACTACCCCCCTGGCCGACCCTGACCTTTATCTTCAACACATGTACAAGCACCACATCCTAATAAAAAATGATCGACACAAGAACCAATACTGCAACAATTAAGTGCAATTACAGCTGACCATGGCCGTTTGGTTGCGTGACAAAAGTTTGAGGAATCTTTTCATCTTCTGGAACACTCTTCTTTCTCAGTTCTGCGCTATGCCGCTCCTTACGTCGTCTCATTTGAACTTGCAGCTGTAGCTTATTCGTGAAAAATACTTTTCTCCAACCAACTTCTTGGGCTAATGCTCGAGTTTCGTCCGAGACCGTATCACAGTGAGTTGTAAAAATCTTTTCCCACAATTCATCGCTTGAGCACACTTTGTGAAGCGACCTGCAAACCGAGCTGAGCCTTGCAATGTCAACAAGATCAAGGAAAGTGGCTATGCGGATGAGGACAGGCTTAGGCAGACGAGCTAGCCAGTCCTTACATACGATGCCATACACGATGCGCAATATGTTTTCACCAAATATTCGACTGATCTCCGTTTGCATCATGGTGTCTTCATGGAATTCTTCGTTAGGAACTTTACGTTGGCTTGGCGGAATGTAGCGCTGATCTTTTCGAACCGTAATCTTCCATGTTCTTAAAATTACTTGAGTCTCAGTGACTAGTAGCTGATGAAAGTCTTTGCTGGGCGATGGAGCCTGCCCTGTCTTTTCAAACAAAATCGTGCCCAAATTCATGTTGTCATGTACCGAAGCTAAAGCGAGTGCAAAAGTCAACCTGGGCAAAAGCGCTGGGAACTGGGTAACACGGCTTGGGTGTTTCCATGGTTACATACTATTCACGAGGGGCCCACACAATTCAAATTTCAATTTAGTCAATTATTGGTTACATATAGTAAAAGAGAATATAACAATCTCTTCAGTTTTGTAGTAAATCCGTAGCCATCTATCGCGAATAATTATGTGCCCGAATCAATGTTTAATCACAGGATGAGCCTTTAGGGTGCGTAGCTTTGGGTTGATCCGCATCAGGATCAGTGACCCGAGATCACTCGGATCATGGTAGATCAAAATAATGAACCGAAAAATCCTTGAATCCTTGTCCAGAGTGGATTCATCGGTTCATTTGATCTACCATGGTCCGAGTGATCTCGGATCACTGATTCTGATCCGGATCATCCCAAAGGAACGCACCCTAAATCTTTAGCTACCCTGCGTATCTGGCGGGATTCTTTTGCCCGGGGTACTTTTTTAGGCGAGGAAGCCACGTGGGAAAATCCCGTTGACTTGAATACCCACTCTTCTCGCGGCTCCGCCGCCAAAACAATATAGCACTTCCACGCTAATCCCGCCAACTACGCAAGCTTACCTTTAGCTTTCTCTTTCCACTCCCCCAGCCCTCCCTCCTCCAAAATGGGGAGAAACCAGGTGTGTTGTATTTGTAAGATTTCAAGCTATCTTTTCACGAAGTGTCCCCGGCCCTAGACCTAATCCTCCCCTAAACGAAACTGGCAATTCTGTCTACATGAATTAAAGTCACATGAAAATTATCCTGGGACCAGGTTCCGCATTGGGGGAAAGAGAGTAAAAAATAAGCGTGGGCGAAAAAAAAATCAGCCAGCGAAGCTAGCCGAGAGGTAAGCCGAGAGGCAGTAAAAGGCAGTATGCGCCCTTTCCCCCTCCCCAGGCCACCGCGAGGCTCGCTTCGCTCGCCAATATTTTTCCTATTTGACCCCGTTTTTTGCCTTTTTCCCCACTGCGATCTCTGGTCCTAGGCTACATGGAAACTAGAAATAATTGGATCAGAATGTTAAGTATAATACCTAATTCCCAGGTTTCATGAGTGCATTCTCTGGGGAAAGGAGATATGTGAGACTGGCATACTCAAAAGAGCGTGCCAATTCCGCCAAACATTCAAATAGCAAGGGAGCGCCTAATAAAACTAGGAAGCCAAAAAAAGCACCAACTTTGACCAGCATATTCTAATGAAAATCTTGTTTCAATACCCACCTTCAAAATTATCTCTTAATCCTCGCAATTTTTGGCGAAAAATCTTCTGACCGAATTGTAGCCTAATAAATGCGCTTGCTCGAACCCACTTTGGCCAGATTTTGACCGCTCGACTGGGTTCAAACCGCGCCGTTTTTCGCCAACTCCCATGGGCGCATGGTCAATACTACTGACGCATCTTGCACGGCATGCATGTACTTTTCAACGTCTTGCCAGTGTCTTGCTAACCTGCCATTAGTCGATGTTTTTTTCAGATTTTTGTTGTTGTTGTTGTTGTTAGGTATAATAGGGAGAGGCCATGGTCTCAGGCTAGTTTCTTACCTGCCAATCCCATTACCGATTACCAGTCTATCATGGACCACTAATATTCTCAACTTTCTGATGAAATCTGATGACCTTAATGTTTAATAAAGAGGTGACAATGCGTGGAGGATTTAGCCGGATGTTGGAGACTTTAAAAGATTCAGCTAAGAAAGGAAAGAAATCTGCGGCTCAATTTCGAGAAATATTGCGTGTTTGAACAGATCAAACAGTAATACATCATTCAGTTGTAATTCATTTCGGCGGAAAGTGGACATTTTATTTGTACATCATTCGAGAGAATTCTCGTTGGTGATTGATTACTGAATCCCAATCCGGGTTGTGCCGCTTACATACATAACATATGCAAGACAAAGTAATCTCCTCGCCTTGTCCAAATAAGAGGCTAGAGTTTCCGTCAAAACCTATGGAGAAAATGGAAAGCTCATCGTCCGTTCTCATAGCCCCGTCTGGTTAGCCGTCGCTTTGAAGACTCTCCTTTCCAGTTTATAGGGGAAAAGTCCAGTAAATAGCAATAGTAAATCAAAACATATTAAAAGAAAAAAAGCATCTGCGAAAATGTTTTTAAGAAGCGTAGCTTTCAAAGCACGTAAAATAGGAATCACAGATCGAGTAATAACTGGATTATGACAAAAAATCAACACTTGTCGTCCTTAACCAAACAAAATTATTTCAAGGGATGCGTCGTTGCTTGGGCCTAAAGAACTTATTTGAACCTATCAGAGGTTGTTAAAACCTGTATTTTTATTAGCAAGAAGAATAAAGGTCATTGTGTATGTCTCACTGGAGACAGGCATCAGCAGATCAGGGGTCAATCTTATTGAAAACAGAAAATAGATCAATTCTAAAAAGGTTCAATGTGGATAATCATTAAGAAACGCCAGTGACTCTTGAAATTTTGGTCATCATTTCTTCAGGGAAGAAATTTCGTGTCCCTTAAAGTTCTGATGATGAATATGTATCTTGTCCAGTCTGATTCACAACTGAGGTAAGGAAATCAAATAATGTAAATCATATTGCAAAACTCTTAAGCCACAAGAACATTGCTAGCTTAGCAATTCTCGATCTGGCATGGCAGAACAGTAAAATGCAAAACCAACTCGCGCCAAAATACTATTTTTACGTTATCATTGAGTTTATAAGGTCAATTGAAGATCGTGAAGCAATATATGTAGGCGTTTCAAGGGCTAGTTCTCAAAATCAATTTTTTGTGTGTTTTGCTTTCATCGCAGTTTTTTCCGTAGCCATCCCCAATCACATAATTTGTATTTGTTCTGGTTATCGAACGAAAAACTGCAAAGAAACGCCTCCGTCAATAACAAAGAGAGGATGAAAACCAAAACGGCTGTCTTAAGTGTTGGAAAGTTTAAGTTTTGGAGTTTTGTGTTTGTTTGGCCTTGTTTCATTTCTAAACTAACGCTTAATTTATTTTGTTTAGAATCATTCTGATCGGAGCGCTAGCTGTTTTTACGACTTGCCCCACCCCCGTCAGGATGTTACTGATTAGGACGGACACGCACCGTTCAACAACTGTAAGCTCCACAGATGATCACGTACTCAATGGATGCATCATTTACAAACAGCGCACCTATGACTTCCTGTCATGCGCACAATCATGTTTGGCACACCCAAACTGTATGTCTTTTAATTACGAAAACATCGAAAATGGAGTTTGTGAGTTGAACAGAGATGCAACGGATGGCAGCATTCTAGTGGCTCTCANTTAGGACGGACACGCACCGTTCAACAACTGTAAGCTCCACAGATGATCACGTACTCAATGGATGCATCATTTACAAACAGCGCACCTATGACTTCCTGTCATGCGCACAATCATGTTTGGCACACCCAAACTGTATGTCTTTTAATTACGAAAACATCGAAAATGGAGTTTGTGAGTTGAACAGAGATGCAACGGATGGCAGCATTCTAGTGGCTCTCACTACTCGAATAGGATATACCTTTGGACAGTTTTTGAACATAACTGTAAGTATTGATCGTTTATTATGTCATTTAAATTGCAATCATCGTGATAGTGGCTTCTTGCCTTTGACAATTCAATTAAACGATAGAATGAGCTCCCCCGGGAACATCTTTGAAATAGAGGACAATTTTAAATTGAAGGTCGCTTTATTAAACACCTTATTGAAATGGGACAGTGGTTTTAACTTGTACTATATCTATTGTTATTATTTTATTTAAATAAGAATATATATTGATATTTGTGGATCTTTCCTATTTATAAAATTTAAAAGTTTTTAATTATTTTATACTCACGTTGATGCGTTGTAGGCTTTATCAGTTAATAGGGAAGACCTAGACGATATGGTAGAATGTTATAATACAAGTAAATTAATTAACCGGCAAATAGAAAATGTGATGAAGAGATGCCAAACTTCAAGCTAGATCCAAGGCTATGTCTTGTTCTTGCTTCTACAGCAGGTTGGACAAATTTTCCGATTTCCTATCGGAGAGAGGAAACTTTATTTCCTGCCTTTCTAAGACAGTCAGCTATGTCCCCTCAGGTTGTCCGTAAGGCGCCAGCTATTAAAACAATAATAATAAAAAATAAGATTCAAGCCGCACGGGTGAGGGGGAGGGGAAAGGTGGATTTTAGTCTCTTGTCACTCGTAATATAGAGTGTTTTCACTCACGTGGCCAGCATGTATGCAAATTGATTGGAACAAAAGAAAGCGTTTGCATAAGAGAAGAGTTCAACTCCCACAGGACTGGTTTGGGACACCAACATGGCCGCCGTTTTATTGTTTTGGAACACCAATATGGCCGCCGTGACGTCATGTGAAAACACTCTATATCTGCTGCTGCATCATCCGTTTTGTTCCGTCATTATAGAGTGTTTTCACTCACGTGGCCAGCATAAATGCAAATTTATTGGAACAAAAAAAAGCGTTTGCATTAGAAAAGAGTTCAACTCCCAGAGGACTGGTTTGGGACACCAACATGGCCGCCGTTTCATTGTTTCGGGAGACCAACATGGCCGCCGTGACGTCATGTGAAAACACTCTATAGTCTATTTTTGTAAATTTTGCTTGAGTTCGTCGTCAGTAATTGTCAGTCGTTTGCAAGGCCGATTGCTGCTAAAGCTTCTTTTGCTACATAGAATTAAGACAAGAGAATAGTACGGGGAATATGTTAACCTGCGATCCATCACTTTAGATAGCAACTTATTTGTTCTGCAAATTGAACTTTATTTCAAATTCATTTTAGGAACCCGTTTTTTCAGCTGAAGGAGGACAAAAAGGTAAGATAAGAGCACTGAACCTGAAACGTTACTGAGTTAACACACAAGTGAGAATAACCGTTGGTTAACAACAGCTTTAAGATGAATTTATGGTTACCGCCTGTAATTAGCTATTTCTGTTGTTTGGCGAATTGATAGGTTATTTACTCTGTTCACGTCTTTTTGATTTTTTCAGACCATAAATATGTCTTTACGACACTGGGTGCCAGAGGAGAAACTGGACCGACTGATATATCTGAATATGCAGGAACGTCACTGGAAGGAAAAGTTACTTTAAACAACGGAATCCAAATTTGGACTGTGCCCGTGACTGGAACTTACGTTATTGAAGCATCAGGTGGTTCTGGCGGAAATGGTACCGACGGAATACAATCTTATCCGCTTCCTTGGACGCTTGGTGGCTTAGGCGCAAAAATAATAGGATCCTTCAAACTTTCACGAGGAACTCAACTGAAAATCTTGGTTGGACAGGAGGGTAGTACATCTTCAAACTTTCCTGATAGGCCAGGGGGAGGGGGTGGTGGAACCTTTGTAACCCTGTCTGATAACACTCCACTTATAATTGCCGGTGGGGGAGGCGGAGGAGGGACAGCAAAAGGCCAAATTACAGACGGTGACCCAGGTCAGGCGACAGGGAATGGGACCCAATGTGGGGGAAAAGGGGGCAATGGGGGACAAGTCTGCAATGCTGACACAGGAAACAGTGATTCTAGTCTAATGTCTGGAGGGGGAGCAGGGCTTTACGGAAATGGGACAGCCGGAAACTTGTCAATTTTAACAGCAGCTTTGAGTTTTGCAAAAGGGGGAAATGGGGGAGTTTGTCCGGTGTCAAATGGTGGCTTTGGAGGGGGTGGGTTTGCTATGAAGCTTGGAGGGGGAGGGGGCGGATATTCCGGTGGAGGAGTTATGGGAACCCAAAATAAGGGTACCGCTGGGGGAGGAGGGTCATATAATAACGGTGCAAATCAGCAAAACATGGCGGGTGTTAATAAAGGTGATGGTAAAGTTATAATAAGGTTGAAACCTTACGTGTAAAGTGTTTAACTAAACCACATAAGTGGTGAATTTGAAAGAGACTAAAGTAAAGAATCTTTTCTTGAAACTATAACCAGAATTTGTTACAACTATTAGTAATGCCGAAACAGGACTGAGTGGAGTCCAATTTGGTCTGTAATCATACGAGTGATTAACAACGTAATGCTTATTGTAAGTAATTAGACAGTACGCGTCATAACGCGCTCGGTTAAGGCTTTTTTTTCACTTTTTTTTCACTTTTTTTTGACAAGGCTGAAATCAGGGCAGTTGATAGCTTATCAGATTTAAGAATTTTGTTATAGTTATGATTACTTTATTTATACTACTACGTGAGAAATTTCTGCAATTTGGTTGGCTTAGAGCAGTGGTATTCAGCTTAATTTGAAATACCTACATGTGAAAATTACAAACCTTTTGCTGGTAGTATTACATCCTCGGTGACCCAGGGGCAGATAAAGGGGGCGAGGGGAAGTCTAAACGGGCGGAAAAATATATATGGCACGAAGAAAAGTAAAGAGCGGCGAGAAGAGCCCCTGGGGACAATGTCGTACCAGACCAGTTCCAAACGGTCTGATTTCTGATTGGTGCCAGAAAATTTGTGTTTTTCTGGCACCAATCAGAAACCAGAACGGCGGCGACCGTTTGGAACTGGTCTGGTAAGACATTGTCCCCAGGGGCTCTTCTCACCGTTCTTTACTTTTCTTCGTGCCACATTTTTCCGCCCGTTTAGACTTTCCCTCGTCCCCACTATCTGCCCCTGGGTCTCCGAGGATGGTAGTATTATAAACAAATAATAGCATGAAATTATGTATAACAATTTCGAAATATCTCTCGTGGTATTTATGCCAAATATGACTACAAATGATGCTATTACCTATACTAATAGTCCCTTCAGTTGCGCAGTCCGCATATAAGGATTCTTGATTCCGCCCCATGGAACTTGGATTTCGGATTCTAATACTCGTCAGCGGGATTCCGGATTCCTTAAGCTAAATTCCGGATTTCAGGATTTCAAAAGTCCAGGATTCCACATTCCATAAGTAAAAGATTTTTCGGATTCCGAAATCCGGATTTAATACCTTATATACGTGACGCGACTTGTAGGATCATGTGTCATTTGTACGGCCCTCTCTCTCTTGTAAAGACGACTCATTAAATTACATACGACCTGTGTCACTATTCCGGTATAAGAAGAGCTTTTGTATGGACAGAAATGACTGAGGACGTCTATCGTCATTGGAAAATTTTGCCAATGTTCAGGTCAGAGAGGTTTAACTTTCGAGACCTAAACCGACCAAGGTCGGCCGCCCTTTTTTAAAAAAAGTACACTCGCTATGATCACTTCGCCAGTTCAAAGTCACAGGCTTATGTATGTATGTGTAATCAAATGGTGACGCGTGAAATTAGGGAATAATTTCACGCGCGTTTTGTCTAAGTCCTTATAATTTCCCGAGCCTTTAGGCGAGGGAAATTATTAGGATTTGGACAAAACGCAAGTGAAATTATTCCCTGATTTCACGAGTATACCATTTGATTACCTATTAATATCATGGGTGACGAATTACGTTAGCAATCGAGGATTTTTGACTTGTTTATCCTGGATCGTATCGGTCGATCGTGAACTCAGGGGCACCCAACGACAATTTTCGAAAAAATATATGTTCGGAAGACGATTTGAGATCTAGAATTTTCGGAACATTTGTTGTAAAATTTCTTGCTTGCCTGCTTCTCCTAGGATTTTCGAACATCTAAAATATGGTATAATTGCCTATTTTTAACGGATTTTTACCCTAAAAAGGTCACCTAGAGTTTTCGAGAGCCTTTTTTCGGGCTGAAATTTTCGAAAAGGTAAGTTTTGATCCCTATAATTTTCGGATCACTAGACTTTCAGCTAGGAAATCCGAACAGATGAAAAATTTTTAGGGTATAAAAATATGCCTATATCTACCGTTTAAATACCAAAATACGTTTAACAATGCTATGTTTTAGCGGTTTTGAACTAAATTCTCGTTGGGTGCCCCTGTGAACTCCACTCTCTCAAACGTTTAGAGCTAAAATTTGGCTTAAGTTTTCAGAATTTTTCCACAACATACCTCTAAGAATCCTTCTTGATGTGCTCTTTCGTGTGTTCAGGTTTTCTAAAGCGTCTTTTTATGCCCCGACATCTTCATTCTTGACATTTTAAAACTTCCTCGCCATCTTGAAACGGAGACGTACGGCAGGTTGCCATGGCAATTTGGTAATTTCACATGTGAAATTACAAATTAACGCTGAAATTTCGCGCCAAAATTAAGGAGTAATTCGTCACCTATGATATTAGTTTGGTAGCTCGTGTCTTGTACTCCCTCTTAATTCCTCGATATTAAATAAGGAACCTTAAAAAACCCACGACGGCGACGGCAGTAAAAAGGGTAGAGGAACTCTCCCAGAATTGAATTCCTGAGAACCATATCCAAGTTCAGAATGAGAAAGAAAATTTCGTCGTCGAGGTTGTTTACGTCCTGATCATGAAACGAGGCATTTTCACGTGGTAGTCGTGCAGTTATGGTAAAGAAATGTACAAAACCGAGTGCATCACGCGCAAAGTTTTTGTTTTGCAAATTTAATCGATTGCCTTGACTTTGTCGTTGTCGCCGCTGTCTTCGTATCTTAAGTCCCTCATAAACAAATACAGCGAAGCTGCAGAAAAAATGTATCTTCTTGTAGATGAAGGAATAAAGAAGTTAATTTTTAAAGAAAGTCAGATTGTTCGGTGTCACATGCGTACGCCATGTTTACTGCAACTTATAATAACTGAGAAGGGAATGTAAGTGAGTTGAAGTAATCGCGATGAAGGTTGATGAACACTTCAATACGGAATAGAAGAATTGCACTTTATGGATATGTTTTTCGTGTTGAGAGCTCTCCAGGCAACAGCTGATAACATGGGAGAAAGCCCGCGTAATTGTGCGACGGCTGGAGCGAGAGCTAAAGAAATGAACGATCCTCGGTTTAAAAGGCACCATTAGCTGGCAGGTTGTATCAGAAGACACATTTCATGCTTGTTGGGATTTAAAAAGCTGCCATAAAACACACAAATTGAAAACAAGCTTGACTTGTAAAGTCAAAAGTTAAACTACAATTTTAACTAGAGCATTAAAAACGCGCATCTTTAAAAACTGATCATTAGAGCAACAGTGTTGCGATTTGTCGATTTTCAGGGAAAGAAATAAAAAGGAAGGCGATGCATGAGGGAAAATGTNAGTAAAAAGGGTAGAGGAACTCTCCCAGAATTGAATTCCTGAGAACCATATCCAAGTTCAGAATGAGAAAGAAAATTTCGTCGTCGAGGTTGTTTACGTCCTGATCATGAAACGAGGCATTTTCACGTGGTAGTCGTGCAGTTATGGTAAAGAAATGTACAAAACCGAGTGCATCACGCGCAAAGTTTTTGTTTTGCAAATTTAATCGATTGCCTTGACTTTGTCGTTGTCGCCGCTGTCTTCGTATCTTAAGTCCCTCATAAACAAATACAGCGAAGCTGCAGAAAAAATGTATCTTCTTGTAGATGAAGGAATAAAGAAGTTAATTTTTAAAGAAAGTCAGATTGTTCGGTGTCACATGCGTACGCCATGTTTACTGCAACTTATAATAACTGAGAAGGGAATGTAAGTGAGTTGAAGTAATCGCGATGAAGGTTGATGAACACTTCAATACGGAATAGAAGAATTGCACTTTATGGATATGTTTTTCGTGTTGAGAGCTCTCCAGGCAACAGCTGATAACATGGGAGAAAGCCCGCGTAATTGTGCGACGGCTGGAGCGAGAGCTAAAGAAATGAACGATCCTCGGTTTAAAAGGCACCATTAGCTGGCAGGTTGTATCAGAAGACACATTTCATGCTTTTTGGGATTTAAAAAGCTGCCATAAAACACACAAATTGAAAACAAGCTTGACTTGTAAAGTCAAAAATTAAACTACAATTTTAACTAGAGCATTAAAAACGCGCATCTTTAAAAACTGATCATTAGAGCAACAGTGTTGCGATTTGTCGATTTTCAGGGAAAGAAATAAAAAGGAAGGCGATGCATGAGGGAAAATGTCTGATGTGCGGGGGGAAGAGGCTCTTATAACCGAATGGGTTGGGCTGAGTCTATAACCGGAATTATTTAATATATACATTCAGTTATGTTTCTTAAATTCTATTTTAACCGGTAAATAAATGCAGTAAAACAAATACGATGCGATAGCTTTGCTTTGCTTTGCTTTATAGCTCTTTATCACTCCCTGATTCCGGCACAAGCGGCCGAAGCGGGTTTTTTAATACAACTATTGTCGGTTTTCACATGACGTCACTAAAATTCAAACTACAAAACTATCAATCCTACCGAGATTTTACTTTCACGATGTATTTGAGCAGCTGAAACTAATTTTCATACAACTTTTCACCTCAAAAGGGTTTTTGGTTTTATGATAGAGTACGCTTGAATTTCTAAGCTTTGGCGTGACGCGGCACTTTTGTGACGGCCAAGAGAGCTGTCATGAATTAAAAAAATGCCTTATTTCAGGGAATTCTGCTATCTAAACAGTTCATGTATTAGAAAAAGTATTACTTTAATGTTTACGAGTTCCTCGAAGAATAAATTCACGCTCTTTAATAAGACTCGGTAACAGATGTTTCTGTTGGTTTACGTCCGCCATGTTGGTGCCCATCCGGATGGGCACCAGCATGGCGTCTCCATACAAACCTCTATAAATTTGGGTAAAACATTTCTTCGGATATAACGTATACGAAATATTCATCTGACCTGAATCTTGGCGAGGGTCTTTGCATATTTACCTCTTTTCATTTCCCAGATTCTGGACTTTATCTATTGAACGGTTTTGATTTTGATTTTAATCTATTTTGAAAGGCGTGACACTGAAAACCAGCAACAACTATTGAACACGGCTGCGAATCCCTCAATTTAACCATGTGGTCTTTTGAGGAAGTGGCAAGGCAACCTGTCTGATCCTGTTTT